AACACAATACAACTTTTGCTGTCTTCAACGGTTTTCAACAAAAGTTGTATTGTGTTGCTCAGCAACGCACACATGTTATGAAAATGTCAGCGCCCAGGTATGGGAACAAAGCTTGGCTATCCCTGTATTCTTAAATATTGTCCACTTTTACACTATTTGTTACAATTAAAGCATTGATTGCAATCATATTTTGTAAATCAATGTCAAATTATTATACAAATATACAATATACGTTAGTACTGTACATGTATAAAAACTTGCTTGCTCCTTTAGCTAATTTGAATGTGAAATTTTCAAATGATGTTAATTATTGTTTTCTGACATAATTTGTGTACATTTTGAATGTGTTTTCAAACAAATCAATGTTTTTGTTATATTATTTGGCATTTGATTTAAAAACAACACAAACCGTGAGACCAATTGTCTGGTGATGTCTTCGGAGAGCGAGTCCTCGTGTTGTTCGACATGCAGTTCATCTGATTATGAGAGCTCTCTATCAGACATCACTCTCAACGATGAGGACATGGATTACGCCAACCAATTGACTCATGAGTTGTTTTATTTGAAACTCATTGCCGAAGACAAACACAACCACAAGTTGGCCGACGAATGTCACCTCAAAGACAAAGACACTCAACAAAAGACTAACCAATTGAATGAACGGTCAGTCAATTGAAAGATAAACTCTTAAACAAAATGATAAACAATTAATGTTTTGCATAATAGGATTGGTTTGCAATACAATCGGTTCACTTCGTGGGTCTTTCCTAACAAATCGTCGAAACAATCGACAGATAAAAGCCTTAAGAGGAAGAGTAGTCGCAAGAAAGAGGTGACAAATGTGTCCAAAGAGGCTATTGTTTCGAATGACACCAATTGTGCCGCAAATCCGGTGATCAATGTTTCTGATTGTGACGACAATGGCGTCAATGAAGTGATAAAAACAAACAAATTGTTTGATTTAATTGATGGCAAAACGGAAACAATGGCATCAAAAGGAGGCAATCATTTGGTTTTAATGTATTTAATGCCTCCAAACGACACGCAAACCGATTGTCTGTTGTATTCGTATCCGAAGACTGAAAATGAAGACTCGAATCAAGTGTTGGCGAAACTGAAGGGAATGTTCATAACGTTGTCTCAAGTGGTCTCTCAGATAACCAAACAATCGATATGTTTGTCATCGATTGCTGTGAATCAACAAAACGGGGAACAGTTGTATAGAATAGGGTTTGTCCACCAAATGGACAGTCTGTTGGTGTTAGCGCTTCCGTACGACAAATACACTGACATCGAAGTCGAAGCCATGGTTCAGACGATCGCAAGAGTTATTAAATTCATTTACAGCTCATTAGACGCCGCTTTCAAAGACCAATTGAAACACGAAAATCTGACGAAATTGTTTTCTACATTTGAATACCTTTTGGCCGAAGAATTCAAATATTCATCAATTGATTCAATATTTTTAAATACAATCAAACGTCTGATAATTAACGACAACTTAGCGATCAATTTAAGCGATTCTCTCTCGGAATTCGAGGCAATGGATTGGATAAGTGATAACTCGACCATTGATTTGCATCAACAAAACAGTTCCCAATTGATTGTAATCGGTTCCTGTCTTTTGTACAAAGGATTACTACTGTCCTCTCAATTGTCGGTCAATCATCTGAAAGACATTTTCGCGTTTTTGAGTCTCAAAGGATTGCTTTCATTACACAAAACCAATTCAATACGACTCGTCTACTGGAGTGAAGTGTTTCCCAACTTTAATCCAAACATTGAATCCAATGATTACAATGAAAGCGATTGCGTTAAATACTTTGTATCGATGGTTGGCTTTCAGCATATGATTCACTGCACTCTCATTGAAATGCCTTTCATTAGTGCAGAGGAGACGCCAATCAAAGCGAATGAAGTGCTTATCAATGAATCGATTCGGTTATTGAAATGGCATTTCACTAAAATGGGAATCATTGACGAAATCGATCACTGCTTTAATGTACAACAAATGGCTGTCAAACACATGTTTGGCCAAAACAAAGAGCAGAAGCGCTACAAATCGCTGTCGTCGCTAAAGGATCTGCTCTTTCAATCTCCCGGTTCGTCGCAGTCGAGGTCACACATGTATCACTCGAATAGTTCTCTTTCAACATTAAGCGGTTCCAGTCTTTCGGCGTCAATAAAGTCCAACTCGAGTCCATCTCTTCACCATTCAGTGCTGTCCCGGACCTCATCGAGTGCTACCAGTCTTTCCAAAGACATGCATTCCATGGCTTGTAATGAAAATTGCATTTATTTGGAGCAAACATTCAAAATGCCAGAGAATCTCATTTGTTATTTGGATATAGAAGATGGACAACAGGTGTTCGCCGGACCACTACTTCAATGGCCTAAAGATATTTGCGAACAAATATTCAAAAAATTTGCCGATTCTTGTTATGAAATGAGTCGACATTTTAGACAATCCGTTGATTTGTGTCACGAAATCGGAAGAAGTTTTCAAATCAAGATTTCGTCCAATTTTTTAAATCCAAATAAATTGCGATCAAAGAAAGCCGAGAATGAAATCCATTTGTTTAATGTTATCGCAAGACATGAGAAGAATAATGAATTTTATGCCTGTTTTAAGACAAATCCTTCGGATTCGTTGTTCAATGACTTCGATATCGAAGACTTCATATATAGCCTTCATTTACAGCGAAGACTTCTCTGAATCAACTCATCAATGGTTTACATTTTATCAGTAACTAAAATCTTAATTCAATGGATTGGAAACACAGTATTCTTTACACATATGAAACTCAAATACAGTATATTTTTCTCAAATACTCTCTTATATAATATTTATCAGTATTTTTGTACTTAAAAATTGTTATATTTTATTAATTTCTCATTTTTTGTTGTGTTTTTGTAATAAATTATTCCAAATAATGTAAGAAATTTCTAATTATTTTTGACTATAATTTATATTAAAAAGCGAATCAAATGCTATTATAGCAAAATTTGTCAGTTATTTGTTGAATGAATGCTTATTTGTGAGAATATTATTCATATTTACATTTACTTATTTAACGAACCAATAATTGGCCTTATTTTACATGTAATACTGTATGTTATATAAGATTTCATCTCAACATCTCTTCGTGAAAATAATTGCAAATCAATTGAAGGAATGATTAGCTTTTAATTTAATCAATTTCACTAAAATATAACACAATTTCTTGTAAATTACAATTAGTGATTCATTTGGAGTGGATCTGTAAGACATCAAACATATGTCAAAACAATTTAAATTATTTATATTAAAACAGATATAATGTTGTCGTGTAATTGGATATACAGTACTTACTGGGGTATCCTGTGGTTAATTTATGATAATGATTTTTAGTAACCTGGAATTAAGAATATAAAAATTAATAAATTATTTTTAGTTATTAATAATTTAAAAAACAGTAAATTAATTTGCTTATAATATTTCAATAATTATCTCAAATTCAATTACTCTAATCACCGAAAGATCAGATTATTTTTATTACATATTGTTTTTAATGTACAGTAGATTTTATGAGTATACGTACAATATTCAAATTACAATAAATATTTAAATAAAAATTTTGTAAAATCTTGGATATCATAAAAGAATTTCCAATCATTACATTCAAAAAAAATTTTTTTAAAACTTAAAAATCCAAAAGTTTAAGGTCTAGACTCTGGAGTCTGTTCTCACAAAAGTACAGATATGTCTGGATATTTGATTACAAAATAATATTAATATTTCGATGAGAAACCAATTGATTTCGTAAACATCAAAACGATAGCGTAATCTTATATTCTATTTGTTGGTTATATATTAGTATATATTAAGCTTTGGGTCTCTCTCTCTCTCTCTCTCTCTCTCTCTCTCCTCAACAGATATGGATTTCCAAAACACTATTGTTTTCTCATTTAATGCACTGATAGTTATTAAATCTCATATGAATCTGGAATTCAATAATATCGTATGAAAGATCAATTCATGTGATACACTCCTGTTTACAATATGTTTTATTAAATAACAATATCGGCGAATGACCCAACACAGCAACATTTACATCACATTTACAACGTTTGTAACAAATAATTCAAAATATATTACAAAATTGTAATTTATAATAATACTGGAGTGAGTGGTCATTCGCCAGTATTGCTGTTTCACAAACTTGTTTCGCAATACCTTAAGAGAACGAATTGACCATTTTCATTTGTTAAACCCAGAATCCTTGTTACTATTATATCAATTAGGGATTTATGTTTGATAACATACATGTTAATTAATGTTTAGGAATTTACTATAATATTTATCATTTTAAAATTTATACTTAAATTAGTTTGTAATCTAAATTTAATTTTTCTTTCATTGGTTTGTTGTAAAACTGTTTTCATGTGAAAACTGTCTCTAAAATTGTGTGCAATTTTAGAAAAGCGTGTTTTAATGAATACTCAGTTGTCTAATAGGGATACGAAGAGCTGCCAAAACACTACTGTATAGTCGGTTGGCATCAACTGTTGTGCATTGAATTCATTGCATAGAAAAGTAGAATTAATTATTAAAAACTAAACACTGAATAATTGATTGTATTTGAACCCTATTTTAAATTCAATTTCAACTCAATTACGGCTAAATAGACGCTAACATACATTAATTAAATGTAATTCTCTTCAGTTATACCACAACAACGTTGAACATCAATTCACTACATGTCTTATCAGTATATATTAAACATTACTGAATGGTATAATCTAAACCATCACTTCATATCAATATACTATTGAATCTAAGTTTGTTGAATATCAATATAAATATTAATACAATAATAGGTAAACACTAAACACAACCGGAAGTCCAATGAAGAGACGGTTGGGGTTTATATTGTGAAAT